AAATAGGTGCTCTTATCCCCATTTGACTGATGAAGAAACTGAGGCAGACAGGTAAAGTGACTTACTCAAGGTCACACAACTAGTAAATCTTAGAGGTCAAGTTGAACTTAAGTCTTCCAGCCTCCAGTGTTGTATACACTGTGTCACTTAGCTGCTTTCTTTTTTTAAAGAAAATAAAAAAAGAATGCTAAAATATGTTTGATGAATTGCTGTTGAATGCATGTAGCTGTATGTGCATCGTGTGTACGTTTGCTTGAATCTCTTTATCTCTCTCTCTCTCTCTCTGTCTCTCTCTCTCTATAGATATATATGTATGTATTTGGTATATATGAATGTAACTTTAATAGCCAACATTTATATGTAGCTTTAAGACTTGAGGGACTATCATTTTCCATCTTTGCATTCCTGGGACTTAGCATAGGAATTTACAAGTAGTAGGTACTTATTATGTAAATTTTTGTTTAATCAAATTTAATTAAGTAGGCATCTAGGGCATGGTAGATAGAGCACTGGTCATGGAATCAGGAAGACCTGAGTTCAGTTTTGGCCTCAGTTATTAGCTGTGTGACCCTGGGCAAGTCACTTAACCTCAGTCTGCCTCAGTTTCCTCTTCTGTAAAATGAGAATAATAGCACCTAACTCCCAAAATCGTTTTGAAGATCAAGTGAGATATTTGTAAAACACTTCACAAACTTTAAAGCACTATATAAATCCTGGTCATTATTATCATCATTATTGTTGTTATTGTTGTTGTTATCATTATTGTGCATATATGAGTGTAAGAATGAGTGTATAGAATGTTAGAGCAGAACGGGATCTAAGAGGGCATTTGTTCTAACCCTCAGTATATAAATGAGGAAGCTGTAGACTAGAGAAGGGAAAGGAGCCCAGTTAAATAGTGAGTCAGTGGCAGATTATGGGATTGTATAGCAATAAAAAACTTTTCTATAGAATGAACATCTTTGATTTAGTACTGTAATTTTCTGCAGTGGAAAGATAATTGGATTTGGACCAGAGGGCCTGAATTTAAAAGCTGTCTTTGCCACTTATTACTGCGTCACCTTGAAAGTCACTGAAGCTCACTGGGTCTTAGTTTTCTCATCTGTACAATGAGGGGGTTAGACCAGATGACTTGTAAAGATTTCTTCCAACTCTTTATCTATGACATGACAACGCTGTGGATTGGGGCCCTTCTGACTCCCTGCTCTGAGCGAAGTGTGAGTGTTGCTACCATATGCATTGAAAGGTATTCCTGTTGATGGTGTTTGTGATCTGTGTGTGTCTGTGTCTGAAACAGACAGATGGATGACTAATGACCTTTCCATGCCAAATTACCTAGAGACCACGAGGAAAACCATTAGGCATGGACAGGGAACTTAGAGACTAGAAATATAATTTTCATCATTTCTGAGTTAAAGGGTGATTGACTAGGATTGACTGTCCCTCTTCCTTATGTGTTTGGTTCCATGATAATGGCTTAAGGTACCATGTCATATTGATGCCCGTGATGTGCCTCTTTTCTCTGGCATTTTTCATGTTCCTTTTGGTTGCTGTTTATAATTGAGTATCTTATAATAAAACAATTGAAGACATTTAGATGTGGAAGGGGCCTTCGAGATGACAGCATCTTAAAGTTGGAATGGACCACAGAGGCCGTAAAGTCTAAGTTTTCCATGACAGGTGATCCCTCTGCAATACTCCTGGCCGGTGGTCACTCTAGGGAGAAGAACAAGCCCACTGCCTCCTAAAGCTGGCCAATTCATTTTGGACAGCTCTAATTGGCAGGATGTTGTAGGATAATTTTCCCTATCTGGAGCCTAATCTGTCATGGCCTCTCTCAAAATTCTGCCCATTGTCCCTAGTTCTGCCTTCTCAGAACCGAGCCAACTTCTAATTATCTAGTCCAATCTCATTTTAAAGAAGAGGAAACTGAGGTATAGAGAGGCTTACTAAAGATTTCCAAGCTATTAGATGATGGAGCCATGAATGAAACCCAGGTGTCCTAACCACCTCCTGGGCTCATTCTTTTTTTTTGTTGTTGTCGCTCAGTCGTTTCAATCATGTTTGACTCTTCATGACGCCATGTGGGGTTTTCTTGGGAAAGATATTGGAGTGGTTTGCTTTTCCTTCTCCAGCTCATTTTACAGATGAGGAAACTGAGGCAAACAGGGTCAAGTGCCCAGGGACACACAGCTAGTGCCGAAGGCTAGATTCCAGGCCCAGCACTCTATGCACTATGGTGCCACTTAGCAGCCCTGTGCTCATTCTACCAGATTCTAGCATGGTAGAATAGGAAGACCTCAGAAGTCATTTAGTACAACCTATACCTGTGCATGAATTGCATCTGCAAGGCTGCTTGGTGGCGCAGTGGACCTGGAATCAGCAAGACCTGAGTTCAAATGCTGCCTCAGATACTTATTGCCTGTGTGACCCTGGACAAGTCACTTTAGAAAACCCCTCTGTTTGCCTCAGTTTCCTTAACTGTAAAATAGAGGTCATAGCAATACGCCTACATTCCAGGGTTGTTGTGAGGATATTTATAAAGCACATTGTAAATTTTAATGCCAATTAGCTAAAAGAATATCCCCAGCAAGTGGTTATCTGGTACCTGATTAAACAGATTCTGTGATGGGATTCTCACTGTCTTTCAGAAACATCCCATTTTTTTTTTGATGGGTTTGATTGTAGGAAATTCAGTATGTTAAGGGAAATACACTTCCTTGTACCGCACCCCCTCCATTCCATTTCCCAATTGCTCCTAATTCGGTGCTGTGGGGCTAAGCATAATGTAGAATCAGTCCCCTTTTTGCCTGACACCCATTTCAGTATAGTTATCAAATCCAGCCAAAACTACTCTTTGGGACTGGTCATTTGGCCAGTTCTGAATCTTTCTAAATGTCCTATCTTGTAGCCAGCACCTCCCCACCTTGTCTTCAAAGTCTGCGCAGGCAATAAATTTATTTGACTGTCACTCGGGTAAACTAGACACAGAGCTTTCCGCAGAGCTGGAGGATCATTTTGCCTCTCTGACCTTCAGATTCCTCTCAAGCAGAGGGAGGAGGAAGGAACGACACTATGCTTGTGACCTCCTTCCCTCCCAGAGCTGCAGTGAAGAAAGCCCTTTGTAGCTTGTGAAAGCACTAGAGAAGTGGGCACTTTTATTATTAGGGTCAAACTGTGGTCCTGTCCATAGACTCACACACAGCCTTGAACAGTTTGAGAAGGAGAAAGAAAATAAGATGGAGACTTCTAATGTACCATGTCACCGTTTTTTTTTGTAAATAATATTTTATTTTTTCCAATTCCACGTGAAGATAGTTTTCAGCATTCTTTTTTTATAAGATTTTGAGTTTCAAATTTTTCTCCCTCCTTCCCCAAGATGGCACGCAATCTGATATGGGTTGAAAATGTGCAATCATGGAAACATATTTCCACATTAGTCATGTTGTGAAAAAAGAAACAGAACAAAAGGGAAAAGCCACAAAAAATGAAAATAGTATGCTTCCATCTGCATTCAGACTCCATAGTTCTTTCTCTGGATGTGGATGGCGTTTTCCATCAGGAGTCTTTTGGAATTGTCTTGGATCGCTGTGTTGCTCAGAAGAGCTTATTAGTCCATCATAGTTGATCCTTGTGCAATGTTGCTGTTGCTGTGTACAATGTTCTCCTGGCTCTGCTCACTTCACTCAGCATTAGTTCATGTAAGTCTGTCCAGGTTTTTCTGAAATCCACCTGCTCATCATTTCTTATAGCACAATAGTATTCCATCACATTCATATACCACAACTTGTTTGGTCATTCCCCAATTGATGGGTATCCCCTCAATTTCCAATTCTTTGCCACCACAAAAAGAGCGGCTATAAATATTCTTGTACACGTGGGTTATTTTCCCTTTTTTATGATCTCTGTTGGATACACACCTAGAAGTGGTATTGCTGGATCAAAAGATGTGCACAGTTTGGTTGCCCTTTGGGCATAGTTCCAAGTTGCTCTCCAGAATGTTTGGATCAGTTCACAACTCCTCCAACAATGCATTAGTGTCCCAATTTCCCCACATATTTTCCGACATTTATCATTTTCCTTTTCTGTCATATTAGCCAATCTGATAGGTTTGAGATGGTACCTCCGAGTTGTTTTAATTTGCATTTCTCTAATCAATAGTGATTTAGAGCTTTTTTATATGACTAAGGTAGCTTTAGTTTCTTCATCTGAAAACTGCCTGCTCATATCCTTTGACCATTTATTGGTTGAGGAATGACTTATGTTCTTATAAATTTGACTCACTTCTCTCTATATATTGAGAAATGAGACCTTTATCAGGAACAATGGCTGTAAAAATTGTTTCCCGTATTTCAATTTTCCTTCTAATCTTGGTTGTGTTGGTTTTGATTGTACAAAACCTTTCTTAACTTAATGTAATCAAAATTATCCATTTTGTATTTCATAATGTTCTCTATCTCTTGTTTGGCATAAAGTTTTCCCTTCTCCATAGATCTGACAGATAAACTATCCCCTGTTCTCCTAATTTGCTTATTGTATCACCCTTTATGTCTAAATCATGTATATGGTGTGAAATGTTGGTCTATGCCTAGTTTCTGACATACTATTTTCCTAGTTTTCCTAGCAGTTTTTGTCAGATAGTGAGTTCTTATCCCAGAGGCTATAGTCTTTGGATTTATCAAACAAAAGATTACTATAATCATTTACTACTGTGTCTTGTGTACCTAGCATATTCCACTGATCTACCACTCTATTTCTTAGCCAGTACCAAATAGTTTTGATGATTGCCGCTTTATAGATTGCCATTTTAGATCTGGTATGGATAGGCTACCTTCTTTTGCATTTTTTAAAAATTTTTTTTAATTCCCTTGATATTCTTGATCTTTTGTTCTTCCAGATAAATTTTGTTATTTTTTCTAGCTCTATAAAATAATTTTTTGGTAGTTTGACATGTCACCATTTTTAATGAAGGGATTTCTTATTTGTTTTTCTGTCTACAGCTGACATTATTTCTACAGTCGAGTTCAACCACACGGGAGAACTGCTGGCCACTGGGGACAAGGGGGGCCGGGTTGTCATATTCCAAAGGGAACCAGAGGTATGTAGCTTGGGGATTTCAACCGGGGTGGGAAGGGAAGTGCATGGAGGAAGCATACAGTCCAATTCTTCTTGTTATGCATGGGGGTGCTTGAATTTCTGCAGAACATTCATTTTCTAAAGCCCTCTTCCCACCCCACCTGTGACTTGGTCAAGCTCCTTCCCTTTCTGTGCCAATTTTTCTAACTCTAAATCAAGGATTCTAATACCTACCCTTTCCTACTTTTTGGTGAAGCAGGATTGGGTAGTGGAGTCAGAAGTCCTGGGGTCAAATTCTTGCTCTGCCAGAATTGGCCTGAGTTTATTTTTTTTAAACCTCTGAAATAAGTATAATAATACCTGCCCCTCGCTTTGTCACTGAGATGTTAGTAGAATAAAATAAAAACAAAGTGAAAAAATGTTAAAATTGGTAAACAAAAGGATTGAGAATGGAGCTTGGCATATGTTTCCCTTTATATTGTGGGGTTGTACATCTGGGCCCCCAAACATATCCTTAGGGTGAAGGGACAGAGTCTTAGTGCCAGCACTGTTAGCCTAAAATCAGGCTGTAGTCATTTCTGAAAGTCCATGATAGATTTAGCCTTTACCAAAACACCGACCCCTTGGGAATGGTTCCAAGTACTACCACAAGACACTGGATGCCAGGGGAAGGGAGATAACATATATACATTCTTTCTAGCACTTCCCCCCCCCCTTTTTTTTAACTATACCAAGGAAGGAGTTAGGAACTCGGCCTGTGATTTCACTGATAAACTCCCTCTCCAATTGCACCTTCTCTGAAACTTAATGTCTTAAGAGTTACCTGAGGTGGGTGGGGACTAAAAAGTTGACTGACTTCCCCAGGGTCACCCAGCCAGTATGTAGCTAGAATCAAGGGCTTGTCAGCTCCAAGGATAACTATCCACTGTGCTATGTTACCTCTTGTCCCAGGAATGAGACACATACACATACACACATCAGAAGAATTTCTCCTTTGGAAACTCAGACAACGCATCAGTGCTTTCCCCATGCTGTGGAGGCTCGCCAGGGTCTGTTTTTGCCTCTGTGGCCAAACGTTAAGTCCTTTAAAGGCACTCAAATGGGCCAGCTTAGTTAAGTCCACTGGGCCTGGTACCAAGCCCTTCCTCATGCTTACACATCCCAGATTACACCTTCCCACGCTGCTCACCACAACAGCAGTGTACTATAACCTAACTAAAATAGCCCCTCTGATCTCTACCACTCCAGCGCTGAATCAGCCACTTGGCACAAATGATAGTCTGAGCTTTCCTACACCCACACACAATGGTGCTTACTGCTTTCCCTGATGTGGCAGCCATAATTTTCTTCTCTGCCTGTTGAAATCCTCCCTTCCTTTAAGACCCATCTCCTATGCCCCCTGTTCCACGAAGCCTTCAGTGACACCCTCTGGCAAACTTGATCTTTTCCTCTCCATATTTCCTATAGTGCTTCATCTAGACCTCCGCTTTGTCTTTATAATGTTCTGCATTGGATCATGCTTATTTATAAATGTGGCCTATTTCTTTTCCTCAAATTATATCACATCTCCTTGATGACAGAGACTGTATAATTTTTTTATCTTTGTATTCCAATGCCTAGCATAATGACTGGTTCTGTATTGTTGAATAAATACCTGAATGAATATTCACCCTCTGGACCTAGTATCAACCTACTGTTGTTCTTAACCTCAACCCTGTTAAAATAGCAAAGCAGGAGAATACTGCTGCCTACATGCTTGGTATTTCAGTCGACTCCCATTTAGGACAAGACTTTGAAAATCTCAGATGGTTGACTTGTATTCTTCAATATATGATAAATATTTTACACCCCCCTCCCTGCAGGTCTATGCAATATTATTTCTCCTTTGTATGCGAAGAAATCGCCAGGCTACTTCTACTCCCTACCTCAATCCCTTTGGGTGGGATCTTTTGGGTTCCTAGGAGAGCCTTTAATACATATGTTAAAGCCTCCCAATAGGTGACATGTGGCTTGATGACATGAGCACTGGAGTGGGAGTCACAGGACATAGGTTCTAATCCCACCTGCATTTTGGGCAAGTTACTTTACCTCATTAGGCCTCGATTTTTTCATCTGTAAAATGAGGGAGTCAGTCTTGATGATCCTTAAGATCTCCTTTAGCTCAGAATCCTGGGATTTTCATGAAATGGGGACAGTTTTAATATGGGTTTACCTATTTCTAGATTGTTATATGAGACTTGGTCAAGAGAAAAAGATTGTTTTAGGGCTTACATGTAATTTTCTTAATTTGAGCATTTTTTTCTTAAAACTCAGATTCCACCTCTGATACTTCTTAGCTATGTGATCCTAGTTCAGGGGTGGGGATCCTACGGCCTTGAGACCACATGTGGCCTTCTAGGTCCTCGGGTGCAGCCTTTTAACTGAGTCCAAGTTTTACAGAATAAATCCTTTTATTAAGGGGATTTGATCTGTGAAGTTTGGATTCAGTCAAAGGGCCGCACCTGAGGACATAGAGGGTCACAAGTTCCCCTCCCCTGCTAGTGCCTCAGACAACTGCTTAGGACTTATCTACTAAGTCACAGATGGATGCAATCAGCATCAGTGGTTGGAAAATCACAGATCTTCCATATATTTGCAAATATACCTATCTATATATCCTCTGTGAATACACATATGTACTTAAATATAGCTAGTTAACAAGTCTAGTCAACAAGCATTTATTAAATGCCTGCTGTGTGCCAGGCGCTGTGCCAGTCACTAGGGATGCAAACAAAAGGCAGACACAGTCCCTGCCAACAAAGAGCTCACAATCAATGGTGGCAGACAACATGAAAACAACTATGTATGGGAAAGATATTCAGGGTAAATTGGGGTGATCTCAGAGGGAAAGAATAAAAGATGACTTAAAAAAAAGAATTGGGGGCAGCTAGGTGGCACAATAGATAGAGAACCAGCCCTGGAGTCAGGAGGACCTGAGTTCAAATCTAGCCTTAGACACATGATACTCACTAGCTGTGTGACTCCGGGCAAGTCATTTAATCCCAATTGCCTCGCCCCCCCCCAAAAAAAAGAATCAAAGGATATTAAAACTAGAAGGTACTTCAGAAATCAAACAGTCCTGACCCCTCTTTTTACAGATGAGGAAACTGAAGCCTGGAATTTTGAAGTTATTTGGCCAAGATCACACATGTCATAAGGAGTAGAACAAAAATTTGAACACAGGTTTTTCAACTCTAAATCCTGTGATTTTCCCACACTATTTAAAGTGCTGGGCCTGAAGTCAGAAGATTTATCTTCCTGAGGTCAAATCTGGCCCCAGACACTTAGTAGCTGTGACCCTGGCAAGTCATTTAATCCTGTTTGCCTTAGTTTTCTCATCTGTAAAATGAGCTGGAGGAGGAAATGGCAAGCCACTCTAGTATCTTTGCCAAGAAAATGCCAAATGGGGTCACAAAGAGTGGGACATGACTGAAAAGACTGAAAACAAAAGTTTTAAAACAATCATTTTTTAAACATTAATTTTTTTTTAACTCACACTCATCTAAATGATTGCATTTGATTGAATAAACCTCATTGATCTGATAACTACTTGAGTGCCTGTAGGCATGTCATTTCCCTTCTCTCGGGCTTTGATTTCATCTGCTATATAATAAAGATATTGGAGGAAATGACCTTGAATCCCTTCTGGTTCTGACCTTCTGTATTCCAAGGTTCCTTCCGCCTCTAATATTCATTGGATCCAACTTCTTTGCATTCTGATTTTAGCTCTTCTGGGGCAGCTCTTCTGTTTCAATTTACAGACAGGATGGTTTCTGCATCTACCTGAGAACACACATGGATTGCATTTTCTAAAGGAGAGTTATTTGCCAGTGAGGATAATGATAATTTTGCTCTTTTCCAGTCATCATGATTGCTTGTCAGCCAAGTAAGACAGGCTAGGACACGGATGATATTTGATATGACACTGGAACATCTCTCTAACAGTATTTACCATAGAGCCAATTATGCGTGCTGCATTCAGGGAGAAAACAAAATGAGACAGGACCCCCTTAGACCTCATCCTGGGAATTTAGATCCTGAAGTCTGAAAGTACCTCATTCTCCATATGTGCTTTCACTGTTAGGACGAAGTTTTAAGTACACGGTAAAATAGATGGGACAAAATAGTTGCTAGGATCTTTTCCCTGTATCTTTGCAAATCTTCTAGAAAATGAAATCTAGGATAGATCTTAAATATCACTGAATCCAATACGCTTATTTTTCAGAGAATATCCATAGAGGTTAAAAGACTAACCAGAAGTTGCATATATCTCCTGAGTGAGAACTAGAAATCAATTCTCCTGCCTTTTACCCCAGTGCACATTCTACTGTGCCAATGACAGGAAAACCCACTTCAAACCCACTCCATCTGATCTACATACACACTCTTGAGGCTACTCTATTATAAATTTAGTGATTTTTTGAAATCACTAATTTTCAACTCATGGGAAAAAAATTAAGTAAATTGGTTTTCCATCCAGAATTTAGTTGATCTGTACAGTTGGGGTAATTCCTGTGGACTGATTTACAGATAGGACAGTTTCCGCGTATGCCTTCAAACTTCCATGAAAGAACTTCCTCTCCCAGCCATTATATCTTTTGAGGTTCTATGCCAATTTAAAATCTGGCATGGAAGTTTTGTTTTGAAGCTCCTATAATCAGGTGTAGCAAGTACAATTTAAAATGTTGGTGTAGTGGAAGGTGTACTGGATTTAGTGAGAGGACCTGGGTTCAAATTTTGGTTCCGTCACTTAGTACCTTGGACTTAGGATCAGTGTGACCTTGAGCAATCACTCAGTCAGTCAACAGGTATTTACTAAGCCCTTACTAGGTGCCATGCAGTGTGCTAAGCTTTGGGGATGCAGTCAGTCAATCAATGAACATTAAGTACTTACTCTACGCCAGATGCTGGGCTAAGTGCTGGGGATACAGACAGAAGCAAACCCAGTCCCTTCTCTCACAGACATCACATTCATATGGGGAGACAACATGGAAAGGGTTAGTTATATGTAAGATAGATACAGAGTAGCCCGACCTAGGAAGGTGATTTTGGAGGGGATGGCATTAGCAGCTAGAGGGGATCTGGGGATCTGAGATAGGCCTTGAAGGAAGTCCGGGAAGCTAAGAGGCAGAGATGAAGGAACAGAGCATTCCAGGCATAGGGGATAACAGTGCAAAGGAATGGGAAATGGGGTATTCAAAGAATGGCAAATAGGCTATTGTAGCGGGATCATGGAGTAGGTAGGCGAAAAGGAATAAATAAAGTGTAAGGAGACAGGATGCATAGAAAGCGGTCTGCTTGTGATCAGCCTTAAATTACAAACAGAGGGTTTTATGTTTGATCCTAGAAGGAATAGGAGCTCTTTAATCACAGGAGTTGACATAGTCAGACCTGTGCTTTGGAAACATGCTTTCGACAGGTGAGTTGAGAACGGATTGGAGAGGGGAGAGATTTGAATCAGGGAGAGTATTTTATTTGGAAGGCTGTTGCAGGATGCTAAAGCCTTGAATTAGGGCTGTGGCTGCATGAATGGGGAGAAGGTCACACATATGAGAATGGAAAGATGTGGCAAAGGATCATGTATGTGAGTGATGTGAAAGGCCAAGATAACACTAAGTAAAGACAAAAAGAAAATTCTCCTAAGGTAGTTACATCCTAACAGGCAAGTCACTTGAGATCTCTGTGCCTTATTCCTCATCTGTACAATGAGGAGGTTATTCTAGACCCTCTCTGAAGTGTCTTCCACTTCTGAAGCTAAAGCTATGAGGCTCCATTTTAAAAACTTTTGAAATTCTGATTTGTGTAATTGAACCACATGGAAAATTGTACCTAATTGCATGTTTGACAATATCAGGTGCTTCCTGTTGACAATGTTTCATGGACCCACGTCCCTAAATGCCTAATTGTCCTGATGCCGTCAGAGACCCTTTATTTTTCTGGTGTTTCCTTCTTCTCAGAGTAAGAATGAGCCTCACAGCCAGGGCGAGTACAATGTTTACAGCACTTTCCAGAGCCATGAGCCGGAGTTTGACTATTTGAAGAGCTTGGAGATAGAAGAGAAAATTAACAAGATTAAATGGCTCCCCCAGCAGAATGCAGCCCATTCTCTCTTGTCCACAAATGGTAAGGCCAGGGAACTGGCATGCAAATCGTCAGACTGTTTCCTTACTTCTTCATAGTCTGCAATGTTACTACTACTCTTCATAGCCTTCAGTGTTAATTTGAAACGGATTGTTTGATTGTTATGCAGTCTGTCTACCACTTAATAGCCACCAGTAATTAGTAAATGAATGATTTCCTTTGTTGATACTTCTGCATTTGTTAGAGATAATGTGATACTTGGAGCTGTACTTGGAGTTAGCCAGGTACTGTGGTGGGGGGCTGAGATGTGAAGACAAAAAAAATGTAATAATCCTTGACCTTCAGAACTTTACATTGTATGGGAGAGGGGCCGGAAGGCCCATTAGGGGAAGGATTATCCTTATCACCTCTTGTCTGGCCATCATACCCTGCCAGTACAATATTTCCCTACACTCTAGAAGGGGAGACCCCATTGCCACACCTACAGAAAGCATCAATAGAGAGATAGCTTGTGTGGATGTTAATTACGGCATACAATTAGAAAATATTGAATTATCTTTTGGAGAGAAAGGACAGAGAAGACACTACATAAAGTGAATGAAGCCAGTTGGTTTTGGTAATCTCCATGAAATTTGCCCTTCATCACCTTATTGGGGTATGACAGGGCTCTGGATTCATAGAAGGTATGTTAGCATCGTGGAAGTTCTATGGACCCTGTAAGCTAGAAAAACTTTGAGGATGGCTCAGGAACAGCCTAGCTTGAATGTGGAAAAGCTCATCACCCAAAAACTTGACCGTGAGAAGATGAGTGGTTTGGGCCCCAGAAATTTATGAAATCATCTACCAGTGTATAGAAGGGTTATGATGTTCATTGCTAAAGGGAACCCTCAGGCAAATAAGATCACAAGTCCTTAATGTATTGAAAAGTAAGGTATTGTTTAATAGATGAAATAAATAATATGATTGGTTTCAGGATACCCCTTTCATGGAGGCATCCATGAAACCAACTGAGAAATAGTGACACCTATCATTGTCCTAGGGAAAGGATGCCAGAATTCAAGTCAGAGGACCTAGCTTTGAATCCTTAATGTGTTGCCTGTATAATCTGGGGCATGTCATTTACCTCACCTGGCCCTGTTTTTTCATCTATAAATTGAGTGGGTTTGATTCAGTGATTTCTATGGTCCTTTATAGCTCTAAATCCATGATCCTAAAATGTTAAAAAGATTATCTAATAGAAGTGAAAGATGGATATTTAAATGCTGCTGTTAATGACTTTTTTTTTAGATAAAACTATCAAATTATGGAAGGTTACTGAACGTGATAAGAGGCCCGAGGGATATAACTTAAAAGATGAAGAAGGAAAACTCAAAGACTTGTCTACAGTGACATCACTACAGGTAAGAAAGGGGCCATAAGTACTCCAGGAGAAAGGAGGGATGTTCACGTCCTTTTCTTCTAGAAAGTTAGAGTTGAAAGGGATGTTGGAATGTAGACTACAAATGTAAGACCTTTGAAGGACCATAACGATTACCTGCTACAATTAATCCTTCGTTACCCAGACCAAGCAGCTGAGGCCAGTCACAGGGAGGTAATTTACCCAAGGTCACAATTAGTTAAAACCAAAACAGACTTAGAATTTATCAAATGAGTATGCAGCTGGGCCCAACTGAGGAGCTTATTAACTGGTAATCTTCTACTCTTTTTCTTGGTGTTTAATTAAAATGTAGTTTTCTTGTACTCCCAGTCCATCCTCACTTACAGATGTGGTCCCACTTTTTATCCTAATAGAGCTGAGTTAGATACGAGACTCCATCTTGTATAACAACACGTGTAATGACAACAATGAGCTTTCCCGTTTCATGGCATTTTAAGATTTCCGAAAAATTTTCCTCATGATAACCCTGTTGAGGTTGGTTGTGCAAATATTATTTTTTTTTCTTATTTATAGACCAAAAAACCAAGGTTTGAGAAATTAACTAACTTGCCAACGTGACTAATACAGAAATACGTTTAGCATGGCTGCACACGTATAATCCATATCAAATTGCTTGCCTTCTTAAGAAGAGGAGAGAGGAAGGAGGGTAGGAAAAATTTGGAATTAAAATTTTTTTAAATGTTAAAAAAGAAATTATGAATTAAATTAGTCAATAGGCAATTAAAGTAACAGAAAAACCTCCATTAAAAACAAGCAAACAAAAAAACAAGCAAAGAACAAAAACCTAACTTGTCTGTGGTCACCTCATTAGTAAGTCCCAGAGCCAGGCTACAAACCCAGGTTCTAGACTCTAAGCTGAACCTCTTTTTTACTATACTAAATCAGCTTTATTTTAGGCTGAGTTGCAAAGGAGAAAAATCTGTCTTCAAGACCTCTTAATTCCCTCACATCTACAAGATACTCAGTGATTTTAGGTTGCTTGAAATCCCTCATCTAGCTGTTCTGGAACCTCCCTGCCCATCATCATACCCATCAAAATTTGCCTTCTCTATATTCCATTCAGAGCTCATCAGGCATAGAACTTGGAAACTTAGAAAAACCATCCAGTCCCTTTATATTACAGATGAGGAAACCGAGAGAAAGGAAATGATGAATGAAGTTACATAGTTAGTGAAGCCTAGTACATTGCCCTTTTGACCACAAAACATTGTCTCCATAACCTTGAGAGTCTTCCAGGCTAATTGTTCTACTAATTACTTCTTACTAAGGTGATAAAGACTACATGTATCCCTTTACATGAAAAGGGCTGGAGGAAAGGAGTAGTGATCGAATTTTAGGTGTATTTAGGAGTATTAAAGGAGAGATTTATGGCCAGAAGGTTGCTGAGGTGCCTTAAATAGTACCACTTGCTCTGTTTTGATGATATTTAAGACTAGAGGAGTGATTTAATGAGGCAATTCTGTTCCCCATAGAGAGGCAGAGATTAGATCTCTGTTTATTGACAGACTTCTTCTTTTGTGGAGAAGCATTTTAGCAGGCCATTGAGATGCCACTTATATCCTCCGCGGAGAAATTGTCATCTGATTAGGAGCCCAGGTTTTGTGTTGGGTCTTAAAAACTATGCACATTCCTAGGCTCAGATGGGATAAGTATGAGTGATCATAAATATAGAACTGTATTCAGTTTTGTCCTTGGAAAAGCAAAATCTATGTTTAAGCATGTTGGCTGAAAAAATTACCCACAAAAATTATGTGAAAGCTAGTACGTAAATGGAAATGATTTTGATGGCAGCATGGCCTAGTATCTAGAAAGCAGGCCACAGAGTCAGAAAATGTGGGTTCAAATTCAGCCTTTGCCAAGCTGAGTAACCACAGATAGTCACCTAACCTCTAGTGGAAGGCCCAGTTCTAGGCATTGCGAGGGCTGCAAAGATTTAGACCTGGTCTCTGCTTTCATGGATTTTTTAAATCTACAAGTGGAAATCGTGTCAGTAAGGTAGTTGGTGAAACGACCAGCTAATATTGATTAAGGGAAGGGTAAAACTTGGGCTTGAAAAGGTCTTAGCATAGCCCCTGGGGTGAATTTGGTAGTGAAGCAACTGGAAATGAGTAGAAGGAATAAGTAGCTGTCCGAGGCCCCTCTGGCGATAAATGGTATGGATGTGTGATGACACCAATTGGCACAGTTGCATAACTTGGTTTAAGTTTGGACTCGGAAGGTTTGGTAGAAGGATAGGGTCATGGGAAAGTGACAGGTGTCCAGGATGGGTTGGTAGGAGGCTAGGGAATGTACCACAACAAAGGGGAGGGGTAGAAGGACTGGAGTTATTAGTGGAGAGAGTGAATTTGATAGGAGCGAAGGAATGGGGGCAATGGGAAGACAAGTGTTTGGAGGATCAGGTAGCCAGCTTGAAAAGTCTGAGGGCAGCATGAATGGGTGTCCCAGTCATTGAAAGTTTTATCATTTGGCACCTATTAGCTCAGCACAATGCCACAGTGATAATTGTGTTCCCTTGTATAGGTTTGGGGCTATCGGAGTTGTACAACCAATCTCCAGAGCTCTCTGCTGCCTAACATCATTCCTCCTGTGTAACCGCAGCTACACTTCTATTTCCCTTAATTAGGCCCTTGTTTGACACTTCATTTGTTAAGATATTTCACAATCTGAGCTTCAAGGGAAGGGAGCAGGTATATATTAAGCACCTTCTGGTGCCAGGCACTGTGCTAAATGCTTTACAAATATTATCTTGTATGTAATGATTAGGAAGGGAAAAGGAGTTGGCACCAGCCCTTGTGAGAGCAAGTAATCTGAATGCTTAACCAACCTTTCCTGGGAGGGACGAATGTTCTCTCTTTCCCTTTCTGAAGTAGGAATCTTCTACCCATGGCTGCTTCCTTTCAGCAAAGCAGGAATGGAGACATGCCAGTGGTTAAGATCCCTGTAACCTTTTTAGTTAACAGTCAAAAACAAATAAGGCCTAGCTGTCCCATTGTTTTAGGAATTACCCTTATAAGAAGAGATAGCCTGGATTTGTGGTTGAAGAGCTGTTCTCTAAACTCTGAAGACTTAGGTTCAAGTCTCCACTGTGATCCACACTGACTGTATGGCCCTGGGCAAACCACTTAACCTCTTAGTGCCCCAAGCAACTCTCTTTGACTAAAATTTATAGAGAAGGTGCCAGCCTGCATTAGTAGAGTTTCCCTACCTGCAAGCTCGCTGTATGAATGAGATCACAGGTCTTTGCCCCATCCCTATAACAAGAGGAATTGCAGTCAATTTATATGAGTTGGATTAGTTCCAAGTGAAGATGAGGTCCAAGGTAAGGCACAATTCACCAGTACCCAGATAGGAGAGGTGTTTGGCAATGTACAATAAAGGAAGCTTCTAAATAGGGCTATTTATAAATAAACATATTTTTATGCCCCCCTCCCAAATTCCCTCCATGGAAAAATAGCATTCATTTTATGGTAAATCTAGTTGCCTTCCATTGCTGTCCTTCTTCAACATCTCATTATAATTTGGAAGTGATCTTGGATTCTCACAAGCCAAACAACCTATCAGTAAGTAAATTAAGCATTCACTGTGTGCCAAGCACTGTGCCTACTGAGTGTGGTAAAGAAGTTGTGCTTTTGGAGTGGTGAAATACCATCTAATATTGTCTCCTACCTAAGCGGTCCATCTCTAAGAAGCTGGCCACCAGGAAATAAATATTTTGGCCACAGAAGCTCTTGAAGACCGTCATGGAACAGATGGTTTCTGAGTTGTTAGAAAACAGTACCTTCATTGATGATGTCAGGGAACCTTGAAGCCATTCAGTTCTCCTGGTGTCAGAGGGAAGGCTCGTAGTCCCCACAGACATTAACAGAAAGGGTAGAAGAAGGCAGTTTTCAAATCTTGGCTAATATGCACACAGGCCTTGTTCAGGATCTGCTTGGGAATTCCTTTGCTCTATCTATATTGCCACCACCTTTTCTCCCTTTTCCATGCCTATCCAGCATTTCATCAGTCACACATGGCTGAAAATCATCTTGTTTCTTGTAGAGTATATATAAGAATGTGTTTTCCCCATGTGCATCCTAGGTTGAAAGTTGCAAACACTGCCCCAGTAAGGCTATTAGCTGCTATAGCATCTATTCACATTTTCATACTTTAATAATATTCCCACCCTCAAGGAGCCTATTTTAAGGGGGAAGATCTCAGTATCTCCCAGAGAGGCGAGTCATTACCTGTCCACCAGGTGCTGCAGCCAAAGAAATTCATCACTTGATGGCCAACCGTCTGGTGAATCTGAGTTCATCTAGGTTGCACCCATCCTCAAAGTCTTTCCAGCTTGGTAGGAGCTACTGAATTTTATCTTCCCCTTGCAGAGCTTCCATGCCACCATGACACATTGGAATAATACTTTAGCAAAGAAGACAGAGCTCCGAGGGGTAGCGACAAATAAAAGGAATAATAAATGAACCGAATGTAGATGGTACCTTCCCTCATTGAGTTTCCATCCAGCTGCTCACAGTGCTTGATGCCTCACTGGTACTCAGTAAAGCAACATAAGATTTAAGGATTTTAGAAATAATATTACACCCCAACCCATCCCTCTGGAAACTAGGGCTCTGAGAGGTAATCAGGGCCAGAAACAGAATTCAAACCAGTCCATGTCCACCAAACCCAAAGTTCCTTCTGCTGCATCCTCCTCTCTGACACTTCTCTCTGCTTGTTCCCTGGGACAGGTGCCTGTGCTGAAGCCCATGGATCTGATGGTGGAGGTCAGCCCCCGGAGAATCTTTGCCAATGGTCATACCTATCACATCAACTCCATTTCTGTCAATAGCGACTGTGAGACTTACATGTCTGCGGATGACCTCCGAATTAACCTCTGGCACTTAGCAATCACGGATAGGAGCTTCAGTATCCTTTGTGATGATCGCCTGTACATGAGTGAAGTGATTCAGGCCCAGAACCAGTCGGACACTGGTCCTGATGCTAAAAAAAGCATTTGATTTCACAGAGGGAGGTTTTGCTTTTAACATGCTTGAAGTCTAGTTGATTTAAATGGCCAATGTCCTCCGTCCAATTCTTTAAGCAAAACTTCCCCTCTCAAAGCTCTTACATGAATCAGTTCTGGACAGAACGTTTTACCAATCAGTCAATCACTCAATAAGCATTTATTGGCACCTACTCTTTGCCAGCCACTATGCTAAGCACTGGAGATATAATAACAGATGTGAAATAGTCTTACATTCTAAAGGAGGGAGATAATATGCACACATATAAGAATATAAAATTTATAGACAGTTTTAGGAGGGGCATTGGTAACCTGGAACATGTTCAGAGGATGGCATGATGAGGGCTCTAGTGACCATATCATAATGAGGGTCAGTTACAACAATACAATACCACATTTGTGAGGCACTTACTGCATGTATGCGGAGCACAATGCTGGCACTAAGGTGATAAAAAGTCTAAGTAAAGCATGGTCCCTGTCCTTGTGTAACTTACAGTTCAGTAAAAGGGATAAGGCACAAACTCAACTATAAAATTTAATGCTATGTGGTAAATGCCTTGGAGAAGTGCTGTATGAAGGTTGTTAGGAAGAGCTTCTTGGAGGGGCTCATTCAGTCAGTTGGGTCAGAAAACATGGTTAGAAATTCAATTGTTGTTCAACTGTGTCCAACTCTTCATGACCCTGTTTGGGGTGGCAAAGATCCTGGAGTAGTTTGCCATTTCCTTCTCCAGCTAGCTTTCACTATGAAAAGAAGGGGATGGAAGGCATTTCAGGTATAGGGAACAGCGTATAGAACAGAACAGAGTAGAATTGAATAGAATAAAAATTTAATGGGAAGAGACATTAATGATCATCTGTGTTCTACCTTCTCATTTTATAAATGAGAAAATCCATTGAAATTTTGTGACATGCCCAAGGCCAGACAGCTATGTAGGTAGTAGCAGAGTTGGCCCTAGAATTCAGGTCTCTGTGACTATAATTAGTACTTCCCTCCACCCACCCCCCTTTTTCCTCTCCCCAAAAATTATTCCAGTGGCACTAAGGAGGATATATTGAGCTAATTTTGCTAGGCTCGAGAGGGCAGAACTTCAATGAATGGGTAGGAGATATAAGAAAGTATATTTCTGTTTAGTAAAAGGATAATTTCTTAATTATTAGAAGAATCCAAAAGTATAATAGTTTCCTTCAAGACGTAATAGGGTGGGGCAGCTAGGTGGCACAGTGGACAGAGCACTGGCCCTGGAGTCAGGAGGACCTGAGTTCAAATGTGACCTCAGACACATAACACTCACTAGCTGTGTGGCTCTGGGCAAGTCACTTAACCCCAATTGCCTCACCAAAAAAAAAAAAAAAAAAAAAAAAAAGGCAGTAAGGAGCTTACTCTGGAAGTCTGCAAGGAGATGCTGTATGCACTGTTGCTAATGACCATTGTATATCAAATTATTATTTAGCTATCGGTTGAACTAGAGCAGGGCTCCTTAAACTTTTTTGGTATCCCAGACCTCTTAGGCATATGGACCGTTTGTGAGAATCATGTTTTTAAGGGCAGAAAATAAAATTCATAGGGTCACAAAGGAAATTAACTATATGGAAGTACTGCTACCACAATATTTAAAAACAAAACAAAACAATTTTGTGGACCCCAGGTTAGGAACCCCTGGACTTAATGATCTCTGAGGTCCTTTCTAGACCTAAAATAATGACCTATTGTGTCTTCTATTTTCCCACATAAAACTCTCAGAATATTCAAAGTCAGTTATTATGTCTTCTTTTCTCTAGGCTAAACAGCCCGACTTTTTCAGCTCTACCTTTTATGACAGGATTTTGAGCCCTCTCATCATCCTGGTTTTTCTCCTCTGAACATCCTCCAGTTTGTCAAGCATTCATCCTCAAACACAAATTTGCCTTAGAATGCAAAGCAGATTTATTTCTCCAAATGCTCTGTATGTTTTTCAAGTAACGAAAACCACCACCTTCCCAGAATTGGAGGGTTTAATTCTGTGCAGTTCAGTAAAGGGTATGGCTTGCTCAAGGCTTCAAGAATACTCCTGAGAATTTAGGTGACTTCGACTGAATTTCTCTTGACATTAAAAGGTAAAAGGTAGGTCAAACTACATCTAATTCTCCCTAGGAGCACCCTCTGGGGTGATCAGACTCTGAGGGGAAAATGGATTTCAGTACCTTCATAGGCTTCATTAAGAAAACAGTTTGCTATCTGGAAAAGTAGGAAAATATACTCTTCTTGCCCTTTTCTGACAAGATCCTGTTACTGGATAAAGGGAAATGCTGATTGCTCTGTTTGGTTACTAAGTTGTTAACGCTGTACAAATGGAGGATTTTTTTTTTTTTTTGTTATCAAGATTCTTCTCCTCACTACCCCCTCCAATTACCAAGCGGCATTTTGTCCTCAATGCTTGGTTTATTTCTTGGAAGTAAGACCATAGATTATAGAATATCCTAGCTGGAAAGCATCTGAGCCATAGAATATGATTGAAAAAGAATAATTCACATTTATGTAGCTCTTAAAAGTTTACAAAACATTTTCCAAATGGTAGAGCTGGAAAAAAACCTTAGAACATAGAATGTTAGAACCAAAAGGGAAGTGAGATCATAGAGTATTGGAGTCAGAAGGGACTTTCAAAGCTAGAACATAAAATATAGAATACCCAGTTCTGGCACAAGTTTTAGTAAGGTCAACTAGAATCCATCTAAATAAGGAGGCAGGGAACTGTACCATCTGAAGATCATTTGGAGGAATTGGAGGGGTTTTTTTTTTTTGCCTAGAGGATCTAATAACACCATGTTCAGATGTTTGAAGTGCTATCATATGAGAGAAGGATTAGACCCAGAAGCAAGAACTAAGAGCACTAGGTGGTACATACAGGGGGGGAGATTTAGGCTCAGTATGACGGAAAACTAACCAACAATAAAAACTGTCCACAATTTCTAGGGGCAGCTTAGAATGTTGTGAGGTTTTTGGTTTTTTTTTTTAATCACTAAAAGTTTCCCTTCAAGGTTGGATGACCACTTGGGAATGTTGTCGAAGAAGAATCTTATTCAGGGTTAGGTTAAACTAGATGATCTCTGAGATTCCAAAGGAACTGAGAATGTAAAAATGTTAGGATTAGAAGGGAATTTAAAGATCATTGACTCCAACTTCCCCTGACCTCGATTTTACAGGTAGGGAGACTGAGGCTCGGAGAGATAAAGTTATTTGCCCAAGCAATAATTGTACAAAGTGGTGAAGCCCAGATTTAATCCAGGTTATGTGATTCCAGATTTAATGTTTTAATATACATTGGTTTCTTTCTTGAGAAGAGGGACTTCCCTCTTCGTATATTTCTCTGTATTCCACAAACCATATACAGACCTCAAAATACCCCCAGAGAATTCAACTACACTGGAATCAGAGGATTGTCGCAGACCTCACCGTTTCCCGCAATCACCCAGACAGAACAATGATACATTAAGAACAGCATTTTAAAGTTGAAGTGGTCATACCAAATACCCCAAATCTCGAAACTATATGGAATGAAAAGCTTTCAAAATGAAGAGAACAAGCAGAAGAGATTAAAATCTTATGGGAACAGGAGGAGATATATACCAATCCAATTGTCCTGTATGCCACTGGCAGTGTGCCAATGATGCTTCCATTGAGCTGACACAGGATGGACCTACTGCCTAATTCTTTTATTCAAGTATAGCTAGCTGCCTCTGGACCATTTCTATATGAACTACATTTAAAATGATGATAAAATGAGACAATAATAACAATAACCAGCATTTATATAGCACTTTAAGGTTTTTAAAAAGAGTTTTACATATGTTATCTAATCTCATAGCAGCTCTGTGGGGTAGTTGCTAATATTATCCCCATTTGCCAATGAGGAAACTGAGGTTAGTGACTTGCCCAAGGTCACATAACTAGTAAGTTTCAGAGGCTGTTTTCAAACTCAAGGCCAACTGCTCTTCTACATTCCTGAGAGCCTTTTGTTATTTTTGCCTTTCAATTCAAGTGTATGACTATAAATATGTAGAAAATCATTGGTAAAAAGCCTGCTGGTTTCTTTTTCATTTTTATCAAGGTACAGGTTCACAAAGATTTGATGCAGATGAGAAAATAGATATACAGATCAGATGTTCTCTCAATTGTGTTTTGGTACTAATAATGTTGCCCACGACTTTAAAAATTTTGGGGGGTATCTTACAAAATGATTCATCCATGCTTTTTACATTCCATCACCTCTAGCATTGATTTCTTCATTGTGTAATTGGTCATGTACAGCTGCTCTTCCCAAGTATATTATCTTTCTACTTGTTTAGATGTAGCACACCAGGAACTAAAGTATTAGGACCCAAGTATCATAGTTCCACAGGCATTGATAAAAATAAATCATTATAGATATGTTGAAAGATCTATTCCATTTTATATCTCATTCTCTTCCTGAAAATTTCAGCATAAAAGCTCTTAGAATACCAAGAGTCATTTTGATCTCATATCAACATTTTGGTAGTCTCATATTCATTTGGATGACTTGTTTTGGGAGGCAGTAATGTTTGCAGTCTTCCACCATCCTTCTCTATAGTGTTTTCCAAATGTATTTGCACTGTAAACTTGTATGGTCCTTAGCTTCTGTGCCCCTCCTCTTGCCAAGGAGATTGTGTTTGCTGGATGAGGCAGCTCATGGTCTCTTTTGCTTGTGATTTTACGTCAGCTGAACTTCCAGAGTGTGCACACACATGTATTTGTGGGACTTATGAGTAGGGTAAAAGTTTTTGCACACTTTGGATTCTTGGACCTGAGCTGTATTTTTCAACATAAATTTCTCCATCCTGTCCATGCAACTTTCACTTTGATGTCATTGAGTGTCAAAACATATAGTGATTTGGTCTGGAGGATCTT